CACGAAGAACCGCGTCCGACCCTAATTGCCTCTTTTCTCTCTTATTTTTACTCTAACGTATTTAGATATAAAAAATATGAAATAATTATGTCTCATACTTAGTTTCCACCTTACTTCTTACGTAAAAAATAACAAGATAAATCATTAATCAATTTAATTAATTAATAGGCTTAAAAAAACTCAGTTATTTCTAAGGTAAATATATACCCTTACGAACCCCTCTCCAATGACTTTCTCCTTCACATATATTATAGAGGTCATTCTCCTAAGTAACCATCAGAAGGTTTTAGCCGTCGCTCGTTGTTTATTAAAAAGTTATGAACAAATATAATTGCGAAATATAACACTTTGTATTAGTGCATAAACAGTACACATATCAGCAGATTACTTCCTTAAGCACTAATACAAAGTTATATTTCTCCAACTTTTTTGTTAATAACTTTTTAATAAATAACGAGCGACGGCTAAAGCTAAAAAGAAAATGCGCGTTTCTGAAATGTGGGTGCATGAAATGTAAAGATTTCAAAAAAAGAAAAACAAATTACAATAGTTGATCCTGATCGTACGTCAAATGTAGAAATTCATGGAGCAACATATGTTAATCGTTTCGAATTTCTCGATACACTGAATATTTTTATTTCCTGACAATGTACGAATATGATGACCTTTATGAAAGTTTATATGTAAACATCGTAATAGTGAGAAGTATTTTTTTAAGGAACAAATTTATATTAAAGCTGTATATCGTATAAAGGTTCCTTATACGGAATAATAAATTTAATTAAATCAGATTTTTCACATTTCTTTTGTTTATAATTTTTTAATAAACAACAAGCGATGGCTAAAACCTTCTGATTACTCAGAAAGATGATCTCTATAATATATGTGAAGGAGAAAGTCATTGGGGGGAGGGGGGTTCGTAAGGGTAAATATTTATCAAAATATCTAATTGTAAATTATACTTTTTTTTCTTAATCGCAATTATGTATTTTCTTTAAGGCAATCGATTTATTTCATAATTTTGTACGTAAAAAAATTAAGATAAAATCATCGGAAAGTAAATATTTTATACGAGACATTTCATGTTTTAGATTAAAAGTTAGTAAATTAGATTAAAATCATGGTATTAGATGTTTTGCATGAAATGTTTGCTGAAGAAAAATTTAACTCATGAAAATAGCTTTAAAAAAAAACATCATATAATTTAAATAATACGATATAGTATCTACCTTCTGCGCTTTCTTCTCTTTTCTCTTCACCGCACATTGGTACTCGGGCACAACACATTCCGGCCTCATGCCAACCGTCAGACACTTCTTCAGTCTGCACTCCTGGCACTTGCGGCGCATATACATGTCGATTTCGCAGCCGTTGCCATATTTACACTGATACACAGCGTTCCTGGTGATGCTTCGTCTGAAAAAGCCCTTGCAGCCTTCGCACGTAAGGGCGTTGTAATGATAACCAGACGCACGATCGCCACATACAAGGCACAATTCTTCTTGTTGTCGAGGCGTAGGTCCTTTTCTCTTCTTCGCATCGCATCCCTCATTACTACCACTTCCAACCCCGTTGCCTCCGCCACCGTTTCCACCTCCGTTACTACCACCACCCCCGCTGCCGCCGCCACCTCCGGAATTATTTCCATAGCCATTTATTGAACCCGGTTGAGATAATTCGTCCCTTCCTGGAATTAAAATATAAAGTTTATCATAGTGATATAAGTATTTAATTGCGTTAGAATTGAATCGACTGTAAGATTACAATAGTAACATAGAATTTTTTGTAAAGAAACTTTTTGTTAAATATAATAAACATATTTTTAATTGCTTCTGTAGTTCATAATATAGTGAGCAAATATTAGTACAAATATAATAGTAGTATTATAGGTATTAGGTAATAGTATAGTAATATAATAGTATTAGATACTAGTGCAATTACTAGATTCTAATATAATTTTGGTGAGTTTAATTTTTGTGATACTGCAGGTATCTTTACGGATTTTGTGCCAGTTATTCGCCAATAAACATAAGTATCATAAACATAAGCATATTACGTACTTTGATGCAATTATCTAAATCTAAACTAAATCTAAAATTACATTAGTTCCAATTTTTGACGATGGGTATGGTAGAATGTACCTATATCAATGTATATCAATAATTAAATAATTTATTGTGTACAGATAAAAGTTTTCAATGTAATCGTAGTCCCTAACTATTAAAAAACACGAATGCTGTAGCTTCTCTACATGAAGTGTAAATTCGATGCAACTTAAAGTCCTTCTAGTCTGGCCAACTTGACAGTTCTGGCAAAATTCTGCGAGAGAGAAGAATATACATTCATATCACTTTCTTTTTCTTTCTTATGTCTCTTTCTCTTGCTTTTGTCAAGAAATGGCGAACCAATCAAAGTTGCTGCTAAAGTTGCGTATGGCCAGACTCTGAGTTGATTAAAGGGACTCTAAATCAACTCATACATAAAAATTATATTCATGCACGATAATGGAGAGATGGTAATTCATTGGTAAAATTGTTTTACACGTCTGAAAATTAAATTCGTTAAAATTACATTGATTTCAATCCTGATATGAGATTGCACAATCAAATTCTGAGTAAATATTTTTAACAAATAGATTAACCATTTGTTTATTACTTTGTTCTATCAAACTTATTTTATACAAAATGCATAAGCAATTAGTGTATTTATTAATTAATCTAATTTAAGCTGATTTCTTTTGCTAAAAGATTACTTTATGTGATCAGTATAAATGCAATACTCAAATTTATGTTTGCAGAGTTGGGTTTCCAAGAACAACGTTTTTTATAACTTTAACGTTAATAAATAAATATAGATTTGTTTTTGACAATTTTTATTTCTTCATATAAACTATCTCATAGAGTAAGTACATATTTTTATGTCTCTATAACTTTTCCTTTTACACAATAATGTTTAATCTCATGAAATCTTCTTTTATAAAATACTATATTATTCTTTATTTTTCTCCCGACTGCTGCCAACCTTCGGTTGGCGAAGACGAGGGAGTATGCGTTTCACTGGGGCCGAACCTTTGTTACCTTAGTTCTCGATAACTACAACATACTTCGATATGTGCTTCCGTATATAAGTTTCTTATTAATCAAGCAAGGTTTATAGCGTATAATAATCATTAATCGTTGTGTTAAACAAAAAGCGAAAAAACGATATATTACATTTATATGTCCTCTTATTGGCTATCGACTGAGTTACAAAGGAAATAGATTAACCAATGATATGCATCCGCATGGGGAATTTTAGTGACTTCCAGTTACATCTATTGAGCTTCGGCAGAACGTACAGCTTTTCTGTTCATTGTTGCACGCTCATTGGATATCGCGCGACACTATCGCACTAGTCTGCTGAGGCCATATGTCATTTTGAAGTAGCGGTCAATACAGTTAGGTTATGTTGTTATGTTATTGTGTACATATTAAAACGACAGTGCGTTTTCTACTACACATTTTCGTCGTATATTTTATAAAAGTGTCGAAAATTAGAGTGTTAATAATAAACATTATAAGAAAATGGATGTTTCTATTAACAATGTAAAACAGGTAAATATTTGCATTATATTATTATTTCCTTGAAAATTGCTATCTGTAACATTATTGTACAATAGATGCTTTCCAGTTAACGACACAAGCGTCATTCTATCTTTGTTGCTCACTAGATGTTGAAAAAAGAGACAGAATGACGCTTGTGTCGACTTGAGTCGCTAAATAAAAAGCACACATTATGTCTCGTATTATGAGTACAGTATCTCTCGTTTATTTATAATTTTATTTATATATTTATATTATTATAATATTATTGCTTGTTTATTGTAATCGAAATATAGAGCTTTAGATAAATATTCCATTAACTTGCAAAAAAAGTAAATAAAAACAAAAACTTATAAAAAAATTTAAAAACAAAAACTTAGAATAAAAAAAATTTTAAAACAAAAACTTATAATTAATAAATTTAATAAAAAAAATTAAAAACAAAAACAAAAAAATTAACAAAAAAATTGTAAAAAAAAACTGCCGACTGCTGCCTAAACTA